GGGGGGGGGGGGGGGGCAGAACGAGGGCGTAAAGGCGACTCGTCTCATAAGCACCCGTAAGGAATATTGTGCAAGGTGCGACGGCAACGAAAACCATGCCACGCTGGCACCACGAAAGTGTACACGCCAAATGCAGAAAAGTCGTACATATGTCTTCTTCGAAAAAGTGTGCGCGACGAGGTTGGTGCAAGGCACGTTCGGATAACAATTGACCTGTTTCTGCGGAGAAACGAAGAGTGACTGTCTGTCTGAACAATGAAGAGGCCCTCGTGTTCTTCCCACAACGCAACACGTTAAATAATCCAAACACGGTTCAGGAGTACCCGGTGCTCGTTGAGGTAGGACGGCAAAACAACTTCCAACAAAAGCGTCGTAAACCATGATACATAGCATCGTGCGCCTTCTTGCGCTCCCGTCCTCTTTCACCTTTCGGGCAGATATCCCGCTGTTGTTCATGTACGTGATAGGTCGCAGGATCCCCACGGACTTATGTTTCACTCTCACCGAGCAATACTCGCCCTGAACGCGTCCGAGAAAACATGCAGTCGAGCGCGGCGCCAAACGGATGGGGCGGGTCGCATCAAAGATGAGGGGTGGTTTGGACGACAGTCCTCGGGCAAGATGAAAGCAGCGGGATGGGCGTCAACATGATGCCAGAGAGTACCGCTGGAGCTCCGGTCAATCTGGCAGTACAACCAATGCGGTTCTGCTGGTCTAAGAGGACGACGTCCGAGAAAGAGCCAAGGAAGGAAACTCCATATCCAGGGTCGTCCAGCAAAATGGCAGTATTCGATTGTGGTTTCGTCTTGGAGCACTACAGTATTAAAGTGCGCCTTTGTAAAGCAGGGTGTCTAGCAATGCGGGTGCCCGGCCCAAGCATTCTGCGGCTCGATTGCAAACCGAATCCATCAGTAGGTACCATACACACGATACGTTCGTCCTTGTCGTTCGTGGCGCGGCAAAGCGGTACAGACGATGGGCCATCCAGCCCAACGAGAGGGCCTGCAAAACTGCACTTGCTTGTTGGCTTCCTTGTGGCCCTCTCAGCAAAAACCTGTACCACTGATTACCATGTGAAACAGCACTGTGTTTCGGCAAACTCCATCGGGATCGCTCTACAGCAGCAGGGAAAGTGACGGCAGTCACCCGAATGGGTGTGGGATGGGGTCGCCTGTCCACACCCAGCAGTGCGCATGTTAGTCTCGTCTCCGCCGGAAATGCAAAGGACATGTGGGAAACAACGCGAGACCATTCACCTGAAACGCGGTCTTGATCTTGAGGGTGCCCCCATGCCGCCTCGCCAGCTCCTCGGCCACCAGGAACCCTGCATTGTGCCTGGTCATCTTGTACTTGTCGCCCGGGTTACCGAGACCCACCACCAGTAGGTTGTCCCCCCGCGGGGGCGCCTTCGGCTGCGGCCGTCGCTGCTGTTTTGGCCGCCGGTGCTGCTGCTCCTGCTGCTGCTGCTGCTGCGACTGCTGTCCGGCAGGTTTGCTTCCGAACCCTCGGCCCTCACCGGTCGCTCCCGCCTGCGGTGGGTTCTGGTCAGCCTTGGGCGCGGGAGCGGCTGTGTCCCCAGTGGCAGGTGAAGCGGCCAGGCTGGAAGACGCGGCGGAATCCAAGAGGTGGGGGACTCGGGGTCTCATCGAGGAGAGCAGCGGGTTGCTGCTTCGGCCGGAAGAGCGCGGGGCTTTGCTGCATACTCGTCGTGATGAAATGGTGGTGGTTGCGACCTGCTGCTTTCCCATGATGATGGCGTTCGCCAGTCTTGCCGTTGTTGACGTGCGTGCCGTCGACGCTATACTGGTCAGCAGGAACGCTTGCGCAGACGGCGGGGGGCGCATAAGACAGGCCGACGACATCAACGACAAGAGCGAGTTACGCCAGAACCGCCGCGTATGCATCAGCATGATCACTCTACTGATGCTTTCCCGACTGCTGCTGCTGCTTCTGCTGCTTCTGCTGCTGAGCCGCCGACACGACTGCTATGCAAGCAGTGTGGTTGCGTGCAAGCAGGCACAAGTCTACTCGGGGCTCGAAAACAGGGCTTTTGGACGGATGACATACACGAACGCACGGAGCCCCCTTATCTACAAATGCTGGTCTGCCACTTAGCCTGCACTTTGCACGAACCATCAGCACCGAGCGTAGCAAGATATCCGAGACAGCAGGTGTGATCATCTTAGCATATTCGTGTAGACAAGCCTGGCAATCTCTACGTGTTCTGCGCTCGGCCTTCGCTGCTCAACAAATGGAATTGAGACACAACACACCGATGAAGAATTGCCTTGACAGCAGTTCGCAGCACGCCAGATCCATCCTCTTCCAAGCAACCGCTGATATGAAGTATGTATCCAGGCTCTCTTATCTGCCCTTCTCGATACGACCTTGCGGTTGTTCCCGGTCAAAAGAAGAACCCGACGCGCTGGCAGCGTGCTACTCCGGCAGATTCGACGTTGGGGTGGCGCCTCTAGTTTGCCCCCTTCAGTTCATGTCGTCATCCTCCTTCCCAACAGCTATCTCGTATCTAATATGCATACATTGGACCTGTGGACCTGTCTGTGCGTCGGCAACGGCCCAACGGTCATGTCACGTTTCGTCTCTTGGAGTGCTTGCTGCTTGCTGTGTTGTATGCACATAGCCGCTATTTCTACCCGACTGAGAGCTGTCTCTGAGGAGCAACGTTCGCGGTGATACCCAACGAGAGTGTCTTCATCAACGAAAGTCTGCAGTAAAATACTCCTTATAACGGGGCTGGAGCTGTAGACAGGTACATTCAAATTTCAATAGTCTACAGCAGTTGTTTGTCCGCGCCATGTCCGCAACTCGTGTGCACGGAACCATAAAATATATCTGAAAACGATTCTATTGTACAACCTTTAGATGTCAGTGCCGACAAACACTGCGTCTTGTCGTGGAGAGGTTACTGTAGGTATCCATCTGTCCGGGAGCAAGTACACGGAATGGGGAGGACAACGGTGAAATCCCGATGCTGTTGTACAACAGAAGTAGTTCCTCCCCCCGCTGGTGCAGCCCGCCCTGGACAAAACAACGTGTCCCCGGTAGCAAAGAACGTCAGCAAGAAGCAAATTTGTTGCTGCTGCTGCGCACCACCACCTACCACCCCATCTTTTGTTTCATCCAATGGCTGTCCCATGGCTCTCATGGTTGCTGGCACAACAGCAGTCTACACCTAAAGATCATACTTTGCATTGATGAGTACCAGGTATTTGTTTGTATCACCCAGGCCGGTAGATAAACCGTAGTGTGCTTTCTGGTCCCTGGTTCCCAGTCCCAGCGCGCGCGGAGCGACCGGCTTGGCCCGAGCGCTCGAACGAGATGAAATTCAATAGCTTCGTTGCGTGTATTGAACAATGCGTGCTACTCAGTCAGTCTCTCCTATGAATGAGACGCTGCATGGTTCTTCCTTCGAGCACATCATGCGGGATTCTATGTATGCCCGTGGTCATGCATGCGTATTGTGATCAACCATCGCCAGACACACTGGTCGCCCCGGTGGTCTAGTGGGTAGCCTCGCAGCCTGCTAAGGGCCAGGTCATGGGTTCGAGTCCCGGCAGAGAGAGTTTTTTTCTCAGTAAATAAATCCTGGTCTAGGATGAAAGCGACGCGCCGCAAAGTTCGTTTGTTAGTGAACCATAATCGACTTCGTAAGTCGCGAGGGAAGCGATTGCTGTACCCTTCTCGCGATAAAAATACCTCAGGCATGAACCGCAGAAGGGGGTCCAACTCCCCCCTCCTATGTGACCCAAGTTGGGTCGTCTAGCTAGTAGAAGTGGAGGATAGGGGCCAGAGGGGCAGACGACAGAGTCCAATGATGGGAGAAAAACAAACAGAAACAAAAACACCGGACTAAAGACGCCACAGATGTTGCTGGATACTGCTGTGTAGTATGGAATATGAACATGGTGCATTACGCTCGAGAAATCCTCGGCAAGCAGCGAGGTATAAGTGGATGTGCAAGCGTAATCGACAGGGAAAGAAGTGCCGCCGTGTGTATGTGTGGGTGTGGGTGTGGGTGTGAACAACGTTTTTGCTAACCTTGAGTCGTTGTGTGAACAACGTTTTTGCTAACCTTGAGCCATTTTTTTTGTTCCCGACAAGTGGACTCCCTGACCTACCCTCTACGATAGCTTGGCTTGGGAGTCCCGGTGGTATCTCACTCGATCATGTTGCATGACATCTGCAGCGTCGACGCGCGCCTGACGCACCGCTACTACGCGCGTAGCTTCAGGGCTGATCCATTTTTGTCGTAAGCGAAGGGCCGACTATCGAAAACTTACGAACTTTGTTCTTGGTATTAACAGCGAATTACCAACCCGATGCAGGACTCTAGATACACGTCTCACCACGAAAAATGGGGGGACTGTCGCCATAATAAATAGGACGAAAACACACACACACACACACACACCTTGCTACCTCGAATAGCGCGCAGAGGGAGTGGAGGACTCCAAAAATATCTGTTGTTGATTTCTATGTACTTGCGGACCCCTCGGGGCCATTTAATTTGAGTGTACCTTTTCAGGGTAAGTTAGCCTGCGACCACGGGAATCAACCGCGTCGAGTGTTGGATCAGTACGGACATACGAAGGTACTGGGTAGAGAGAGATCGGAACGGTTTTTAATGTGAAGTCAACAACAACATACCTATGTTCGGAACGTGTCTGCGTCAGGTGGACCGTTTCTATACAAGCTTCCGAGCAGAGAGAATCGAAAACGTTATATTCTAGTGTGTAAACAGCTTTTGAATGCGTATGCTAGCGTTTTTTACATTCTATTTTCCCCGGTTTCACGCGCAAGAGCACCGTCTTTCTGTGTGGGATATTTCGATACATCGACTAATGCCCCGATGGTTGTATTTTTTCGGAGACAGAATCTTTCCAGGGAGTCGTTTTTCCTTTTTTGAGCGGACTGCTGTAGGATTAGTCTGGTGTGTATTTGTGCACATTTTTGTTCGTACCGTAAGCCTTTTCCTGCTGCCTTTTCCTCGGCGATACACAACAAGAACAGCTGACTTGTTCGATTCTGCCATGCACAGGCATACGAATGCATACCGCAGAAATCATGGTTGATGATAGTTCATGTACGGATGACCCGCGTTGTTATTTCTCTCGCCGTGTACATCCGGCACCACTATTCTATGTGGCGAGACGGAAAGCTCTACCGTGCTCATCATTTCGGTGAACGGACGTTGGCTCAGTGTAGTGCAATCCGCGGGAGGGACACCTACCGAGTTTTCAATTTGTGGCTGTCGTCTTTGCAGTTATGATCGTTCCTGTCTCTTCTGATCATGTAGCTCACACAAGCTTGGTTTTTGGGCGGGCCTAGCCATACTTATGCCCGGCGTGTGCTCTCAGAAAATAACATGCCGCTGTCGAACAGCAAAGTTAGGAAATAACTATTCTTAAAAGTTGAAAACGACCGCACACCCCGTTCGAGACAATTGTCCGCAGAGTTTTGCGCGGCATGGCGCTTGCAATGATCCGTGCTGTGTTAACCGTTTCCCACACTGCTGTGTCATCGTCAACGTCTGACGATATCTCTTTGAAACAGGCACATCCCTGCGCACGACGGGTGCACAGGGAGAACGGTGGAGGCCAGTACAGGGGAGGGGGGGAGGGTTCACCCTCGATAGAAGGCCGCGGGGCCCCCGTCGGCGTCGTTCGTTGAGGCTCACACACGAGAGAGAGAGATAGCCTTTCCCGCGTTCGAGGCAACACAAGCCGAATTCGGACCACGAGCCACAACGCACACGTTCTGCCCCCCTGACGCAGGCGTACTATCTGTCGCCCAATTTTTCCTGCACTACCACGGACTCCGGCCCTGGAGGGGGGGGGGGGGGGGG